CTTGCCAAGGGATTTTATCTGACTCTCAGACATGCCCAGGCACAGGGGGCAGCCCAGACCATGGCGCATGCAGCCAGTCTCGCTGCCCCGGGTGCACAGTGCGACAGGGGTGGCATGGCAGGTGGCTTCTAATTCCTGGCAGTCCTGATGTTGGTTCTTTCTGGCTGCTGCTGCCAGTGTTTCCACCACCACTGGACAGGCCTTGCTCCCTGGGCATGCCAGCCTATTCACCACGTACCTACTGTTGGGGGCACAGATGGAGTGAGCAGGCAGAGTCTCAATAGAGACTAGCTGGGACCCCCATAGGCAGGGCATGCTCGGATGGGCAGATGGGTAGGGCTGCGATTAGGTGGGAAGTAGTGTCCAGGAGTGGGATGGGCAGGCAGGGGCTATCTAAGGAGCAGATCATGGTTCTGCCCTGGACCCCAGCCCTGCGCTGGCACTGCTCCATGATCCAAGCTTTGGCCCCCACCTGCCCATCCTGCTCCTGGATGTCATACCTTGCCATCTTATCCTATCCCATCTGCCCTGTTGAGCGCTCCCTGCCTACAGGGGTACCAGCTGGTCTCCTTGGAGACTCTGCCCACCTGCTCCATCCTGTGCCTCCAGCAGTGGGTGCAGAGTGGACTGGATAGTATCAGTCATCCTCCAACAATCAGCCAGGTCAGCACCCCCTCTGCTGGCCCACAGGAGCTCACCCCAATTCCTAACGTGGCCCTCCAGCCAAAATAATTGCCCTCCCCTATTTTAGGAAGTGTGCCTTTTAAGTTTATTCAGAGGCCTTTAATATCATACCTGAAAACTATTAATGAATAGTTTGAACTCCTGCAGTTTAAGCATAAGAGGTCTATTCTCCTAAGCATACAGGGGATTAAGGATTAGCACCCAAGCACTCATTCACTTAAAATAAATATAGTTCTTATAATTTATACTTAATTAATTTAATTTTATAATATTAAAGACTTTCACAACAACAGTATCAATTTAGTAAGATCTAGTACTTTTTCATTATAAGAAAGGAAAATAGTTTTGTGTTTTCTCATCATTTTAGTAATAATTCAGAATTCATTGGTATTACTTAGATTTTTCCCTTGGATACATATTTTCCATGGAAAATCTCAGTGGAATGTTTTGGTGAGGAAAAGAAGAAGTTTAATTAAATGGGATGATGTTTTCTTAGTAACCTCTGAAAAATTCAGATTTGTAAAGGACTGACAGTTTTCTATATACAGCCCAAGAAATATAATTTCCTATAGTGTTTTATAGGGAATATTGAAAAATATATGTACTTCCCATGAAAACCCAACACTAAATCATTAAACTTTTGTAATACTAGGATAGGGGGAGCAACAGCGGAAGGACCTATTTTAAGCTTGTTACACCTCAAGTAGTAGAGTGAAATGTTTCCTTGAGTGCTGCAGTGCAGTGAAGCACATTGTCTTATATTGAAAACCTAGTTGTTTCTACATAAAATTACTCTACATTTTATAAATATATGCTGCTGATGTGCTGGAAGGTGGGCAACCAAATCCACATGCAGGTGTCAGAAAATACTTTTTTTTATGCAAATCCATTATTTTCTTAGAGGTATTATAAAATGTTAATCTTCCTGTTCCTTATGCTATATTATGGCATAGTTTACTATATGTGCTGTTTAGTATTATGACAAATTAACAAATCGGGGGAAATATCAATCAAACACACGCCATGATACTTCCTTAAAGTATCTTTTAAAGAAGATTAATAGTAATTAATCAATTTTAATTTAATCTTAATTAATACGAATGAATCTGTGAAAGGATCCAAATCCACAGAAACACCAAAGCCCTCACAAAAGCTGGGTCACCCTCAGCAAAGAAGACTGCACAGTAATCTTCACTCCTCTCCTGGCATTTTTTTTCCTGCCAGGAGAGACAGACCATCCCTCCATACTCAAAAGAATGCTTTTATTAGCCACTTCTTCAGAATGATGGCACATTGCCATATCTTATTATGGGAAGGAGGCCTTGGTACATGACACAAAAGTTCATTGATAAATAAATTCTGCACCCATCTCAAAATAAACAACTATAAATAATCCATTAACTAGCAATCAGACTAATCTCAGGGCATTTTCTTTTTTACATTACTAGTAGTTGTAATTATTAGTAATACAGTGGGTAAGATGTAGTTTAAACTTCCAGATGTCTGTGGAGAAAATTGCTCACCCAGCACTGCTCTTGGAGGCAAGGCAGAACCTGGTATTACAAATTAGAGATACTATATTTGCCAATTTATGTAGTTTCCAATACGGTAGAATCCCATGCACTGCTATAGGTTTGAGACCAACTGGCTAAGCAGCAGCTCTGCAGAAAGGACCCGGGGTTTACAGTGGACAATAAACTGAATATGAGTCAGCAGTGCGCCATTGTTGTCAAGAAGACTAACAGCGTACTGGGCTGCATTGGTAGAAACATTGTCAGTAGATCAAGGGAAGTAATTATTCCCCTTTATTCAGCACTGGTGAGGCCACATCTGGAGTACTGTGTCCAGTTTTGAGCCCCACACTACAGAAAGGATGGGGACAAGTTTGAGAAAACCCATTGAACAGCAACAAAAATGGTTATGGGGTTGGGGCACATGACTTATGAGGAGAGGCTGAGGGAAATGGCCTTATTTAGTCTACAGAAGAGAGGACTGAGGGGGATTTGATAGTAGCCTTCAAGTACCTGAAGGGTGGGCACAAAGAGGATGCAGCTAGACTGTTCTCAGTAGTGGCAGATGACAGAACAAGGCGCAATGGTCTCAAGTGGCAGCAAGGGAAGTTTAGGCTGGATATTAGAAAAAACTCTCTCACTAGGAGGGTGGTGAAGTACTGGAATGGGTTACCCAGAGAGGTGAAAGAATCTCCATCCTTGAAGGTTTTAAGGCCCAGCTTGACAAAGCCCTGTCTGGAACGATGTTGTTCGGGCTGGTCCTGCTTTGAGCAGGGGGTCGGACTAGATGACTTCCTGAGGTCCCTTCCAAACATAATTTTCTATGATTGTATGATTCAGTGTTTTTCAGGTAAACTAGAAAATGGATCTGACTCCTTTATATTTTGAGACTGACTTTTCCTCCATAATTGGCCTGTTGCATTTACCTGGCAGACAAGGAACACATGCAAATAAATTAAATTTTTTGCTTGCTTTAAATGTAACCATACACTTTTGGCAAGCAATCCATATGAATCTGGAATACATTATCCTATAATAACTAACAGATTTTTTTAAAAAATGCAGGTTGATTATTATTTCTTCTCTATTATAGTAAAGACACAGTGGAGAGTTTACTATCTGGTGAATCCTCCATCCCTTGTGAAAAATGCATGTAAGACAGATGTGTATTAACCTCATTGTATTATTTATTAGTTTATCTTAGCAGATAAGCCAAATAAAACTACTTGGCAGGAAAATTACTGTATTATCATTGTATCTATTTAGTTACACGAAAACCGCACATAACTGATTACTTTCAACATTTGTATATTTCTATATTTCTTCTGTGAAAATGTTTATTTGTTTTATAGAATATACGAAGGACAGATTACAATAGAGAGAACACGTAGTTTGAGAAATATCGAATACCTGATACATTTGGGTAGCAAATATGCTGCAAATAGAGTTATAACAAGACTGTTCTTTAGAAAACATAACTAAATTAATTTACTAAGTTATCGCACCTACTAAAATACATTAGGTGTTGAAGACGCTGTAACAAATACAGTTGATTTAAATTAACATATATGTTTTTACTTTGCAAATATAGTACATTTACCCCTAAAATGCAAGGCAGACGGATGGGGACTTCAGGGAGAACCATCACAAAGAGCACAAGTGTGAGTGGAGAGATGTATAAACTGGAACACAATGATGGGAGTCAATCAGACACTGCTGTTGGTACAGTTGGAGCAGGTGGGAAGAAAAGACGATCCAGCCTTAGTGCCAAAGTGGTTGCCATAGTATCTCGAAGAAGCAGAAGCACATCCCAGCTTAGCCAAACAGGTGAGTGAAATACGTTCAGCTTGAACACAGGTTTCCTTAAACGTAGCAGGTTATATTACTCAGGGCACCTGGGTGAATCACATATGTGTGTGTTTGGATGTAGTCCATTCAGAAAAAGCTCTGTCAGTGTCTGAAAGTGTTTTTGAGACTTTTAAATTTGTCTAAACACCAGATGTTACAACGTTTCCATAAATTAGTGTTTCTCAATATATAGACTGCAAATCTCTCTTGCCCTGTCAAATAAACTAATTTGTTTATCTATCAAAATGCTTTGTTCACAAATATGCAAAAGAATACAGAAAAACGTGTGGGAATCAACAATTTAAAGTTTAGACATAAACAATGTTGTGTGTGTACAAAATCTTTTCTTAGCAAAACAATTCAATACAAACATGCTTGTAATCTACAGAAAATGAATGTTAGTTATGTAAGCTTCATAGTTTACCATTTAATACCTGTAGTACCCAAATTTTAAATATTATATTTTATGAGATTACCTCGTATTTGACAATACAGACAAAACCTGGTATTTTCTCTTTAAAAACAGCTCTGCCAAGAAGGGGTCAGGGAATTTAGCTGAATTAGAGGGCACCATGATGTTTCTTTATGTGATTTAAGGGTTCTAATCCTTTATTACTACTTCAGAAATCTTAAAAGCCTCATATCGGTATGGCCTGAAGGGGAAAAAGCTCACAAAGAACAAAAGAATAGGAAGAATTGCCTACAGTCCCCAATCCTATTCTTACTGAAGTCCAGTGAGAAATTTTGCTAGTGACCTCATTGGATGCAGGTTTAGGCCCTGAAGGTTGTTACTAAAAGAGAAAGAAAAAAGCTTCACAATAGTATAGAACTCAGGCACAGTGCAGTGTTTCAGTCACATATTCAAGACTGTCCTGCAGTGAGGGTAAGTAACAACATTTGTTTGCATTTATTGAGTCTATTTTCACCATCTTTGTTTTTCATTTTTCCTGAGTGGAGAGTAGAGGTCTTACCTTCAAAGCAAGTTATTTTATTCTGATATTTCAGGCAGTTTCAATAAAATAGTATATTATATTATATTAATATTCTTCTACTTCTAATCTCTTATAGTTTTAAACTGAATAACATACTAAATCATGTTAAGTCAAATAGTAGATTTAGCAGAATCATTTGAAGGCTTCAGTTAAAAGTTATGTTGTTCTATTGAGAACTGTAGTATGATCTTTAACACACAACCTTAATAATACAGATCAAAAAAGATTGTTGCATAAAATACATTATGTTAATTCAGACCAACCCAAATTAAGTACCTCAATTTAAATAAGGAAAAAGAGTTTTAGCAGTATTGGAAAGGTATAAGTAGATTTTTTCCCCTTATTTATTAAGACATATAGTTTAGATTAATTGTCTAATTTTACGTTGTGATAATTTGGTCACATATTACTTTCCTTGTGAACTCCAAACCCTTGTTGATGTGAGAATGGCCATACTGGATCAGTTCTGTATTCTGTCTAGTTCAGTTCATGTAGGCATGTCTGGATACTTCAAAGAAGGGTGTATGAACCTCTATAATACATCGTGTATTTTGCTGTCTAGGAAAAATCTTTCCTTAATTTTTAATAGGTATGAAGGCTGATTAAAAATGTATAAGATTTTTTATAGTTTAGAATATCCTTATCCTTAACTATCATAACTCTTGATTATTCTATTTTGCATGTAAAGGCATGGGTATTCTTTGACTCTTAGTTCAAATCAAGTTCAGATTTCAAATCAGTGAGAGTTTTGAGTGCACAGAGACATCATTAGACTTTTGTTTTCTAATTTAATAGATCTGAGTTCTAAAGTAAACATGAAGAGATTCACAATATATTATAATTATTATGTCGTAATTATTTAGAGTATTCAGAAATTTCTTCAGCAGTAAAAAGCATTGGAAAGATTTTACATGTAAAATTATACTTGTTTAGTATTTTAGAACCTAAACAGTGCTCAAAGGGAATTTTAGTTTGGATTGTATGGAATTCTACTGTATTGTGAAATTTAAAAAAAAAAATCAAGTTTATGACCTGTTATTACTAAATCTTTTTAAAAACACAAATAAAAATAAAAATAAATCAGCCTTAATTTCAGAAGATGAATTAAATTTTGGACTGATAGAGAGGACTGCCTAAGCTCCTTTTGTAAAAATTCAGTAGGGAAATTCTAAGTTTTGCGCATTGCTGGAGACATTTGGACCAGCTACTGAAGGGCGATGTCTGAATTCATTTACTTCACTAATGTGGAAATCCCAAAAGTCTGCATTGGAATATATGGACATTTGTACACACCACGGGGGTTTACTTCAGTTTAATTCTCTCTAAATTGAAGCGGTGGGTCTTTAAAAACATAGCTTCAATTTAGGACAAAGTAAACCCCTATGGCGTGTACACAAGGGTCGGGCCTGACCCTTACCTGCCTCTCTGGTGGTGGGGAGGGGAGAGTGAGCTGCCGGGGGGCCAAGCAGTCCCTGAGCTGTGAGGGGGAGAGGGGCTGGGGCTTCCCTCCACAGCAGTGGTGATGCCCCCCAGGCGGCACCCACCTGTAAGCACCCGATCCAAGTGGTCTCTGAGGGTATTGCAGCTGTGGAGGAAAGCACCAGGCCCCCACATAGCTCAGGCAGGCAGGCTCCGAAGAGGAAAAAAAAAGAGAAGGAAGATCAGCCATGCTGGTTTTTTTTTTTTCCTTCAGTGGAGCCTGCCTGCACAGGCTGCTGCTGGGCTGCTTGCACGGGCTGCCTGCATAGCCCCTGAGTTGCACGGGACCCAGTGCTTCTCTCCACAGAAAACTAAATCACCTTGGAGATGTTTCATTTTACTGTGTCCCAAAGTCATTTAACGCACATTACGCTGCTGGCATGTGCAAACAGCCCGCCATTAAAGCGCATTACACTGCCAATACGTGCAAACATCTGCACCATTAAAGTAGTGCAAAAAGCCACTTTAAAGGCCAATTTTGTGGCATGTACAAATGGCCAATTAGTCCAGCCCAGAGGTATAACATTGTGCTACAAATGAAGCATATGCCAGAAATCCATTAATCTAGTTTTCTTAGATTTATTAAGCACGTAGGTATAAGACTTCTCACGTCCATTTAATAGAATACAGATTAAGAGTATTCAAACTCTGTGACATAACTGAGAATCACTGCCATGTTTTCCCTCTAGGAAGAGGCATTTAAGGCTGCTCATTAAGGATGGGGGAGCAGGGATTTCACCCAGAAAACACTGGGCAGCTTGAGGGTCTGCATGGCACCACAGTAAACCTCCAGAGGAACTGCCATTCCTGTGGTGCTCCCTTCTCATCTATAACAGTCCTTCAGTCCTGGGCTAAATTACAACATGTACTGCTGTAAGGCACAAACATGTGTATATACTTGAAGAATGTATGGATCTTTATCTAGTTTATTATTAGCTATAAGTTTATTTAACTTATTCTCTTCATTTTGAGTGACTTTTTACATAATTGGAGTATTTTACCTTAGGTTGAAAAATCATTTCTGGCCTTCAGAAAATAGGGTAGTTGGGACCAAAGAAAGAAATACTCCCTAATTTATTTTCTAATGTGTTGTATTTTTATAATGTAAGATCGCATCCAAATGAACTGTTGGCACATAGCATGCAATATAAAGTGTGTGTATGTGTGTGTGTTTGTGTGTGAGTGCACATATATATAAGCATGTGTTTGTATACATACACACATACTTACTGTTTATATATAATAAGCTTCTGTTTGATTTTATTATATACATAAATATTTATTAATAAACTTCCATGGCTTCTGCACCAGATGACTTTAATAGAAAATTACTCATAACTTGCATACAATTCTGTTCCCACCCTAATAACAAAACACTGATATCTAAATGAAAATAATAGGCTTAAACTATAACTAAAATCCAAAGTCTCATTTTTTTTGTGAAACAACGGATCCAGATTTATGCTTTTCAGTTGAGTCTTGGTTTTGACTAATTCGATTAACTCACATCATTATTCTTTGGTATTTAAGGGTCAGCAAGTGCAATGTTTAATTTTAGTATTTTGACTCTTGGTAGTTGTGTCACTGGTTTAATCTTAGATAAATGTGAACCCAGTGAATATGAGAATGTTACTTTTGTGCTGTATATTTTTTACGTGTTCATTTATCAAGTTGGTAATTATTAACAAGCAGTTAATTTTTCCATAGATGAAACAGCAGGTGAGGCATATAGTTCTTGTCTGATGCAGTATCTGTTCCTGATCTACTCCTATTTTGAGATTTAAAGGCTCAGTAGTTGTTAAGAGTAGCCACTATTTTAGGAAAGTGTCCTGTTTTGAGAAGTTCTACCCTATTTTCTCGCATATAACTGACACCTTATTCCCCAAACCAGGGGAAAATTGGGATACACATTATGTGCAAGGAAAAGGCATCTCATAGGTCCAGACATTTAGCAGAGAGGGTGGGGAGGCAGAACAATGGTAGCATTAATTGCTGCAGCTGCGGGAGCCACAGCAATTAAATCCGCCACTGCTCTTCCACCACCCTCAACCACCAAATGTCTGGACCCATGAGGAGCCCCCTCGCCAACAGTGCACAAATCAGTTGGACCCGGTATGCAAAGTCCAGGATTATATTTTGGCTGTGGGGCTGTGTGTTAGGTCAGACCTGGCATGTGGTCCAGAGCCATTGTGCATGTTTGGATCCACTGCATGGCCCTAGCATTGCTGTATTTGGATTGGAGCTAGCCCTGCCTTTTGGTCCCCAGAACCACCATAGTCAGATGGCCCCCAGTCCCCAAGTTCCCAGCCCTAGCACGTAGCCCCCAGCACTGGCGCACAGCCCCTAAGCCCCGAACCCCAGCACTCAACCTCCAACCCCAGTGCGTCGCCCAAGTCCTGAATACCTTAGACCAGAGATATTTTTTACTTCTTGGGGCCTTCAAAAAATAGGGTGTGTGTTGTATTCAGGGCATGGTATATGCAAGAAAATACCCTATTTTGAACTTTG